TACTAACATATTTCCACCTTTTCCTCTTAAGCTCAATGAGAGCACCTAAAAAATCTTTGTCGCCTGTTATGACCAGAATATGATGCGTCGAGTTCTCCGCCTTCAGGAAATAGTCAATGGGTGCAAACATGATATCTCTCACCAGAAGAGTATCGGCAATGTCGGTTATACGTGCATAGGGATCATCTAAAAATGAAAAGAAAGATATATTAATTATATCAAAATAAGGCTAGCTAGTTAGAAAGACCATAAACTCTTTGAAAGATAATTCAATGTATGAATCAATAATATAAGCTTTAGTTTATAAACTTGAAATAATATTGTAATATTGTATTACCGTCGAGAGGAGTCTCTGAATCTCGAACGTTCATATTACAACCACCAGCATCACACGGAACTGTTTTAGTGTCCACATTTTGCAAATCGAACGCATCAGTATTCTGCAGTTCTATGACTTCTCTCCAATTCGCTCCTTTAAATTTGCCAAACCCCTTTGGCTTGCCATGGATGAAGAAGCGATGATCTAGTGTTTTCAAGGCAACTTCGATATTACCTTTAAGTTGAGATAGATCTTCGGCATTTCTGTCGACCGTTAAATTTTCAAAGTCCCAGAAGATGGTGACTCCATACTTTTTAATAAAATGGTCTGATGGCTCCTTGGAACTAGATGCTTTCGTATGAAAAAAATAAAAAAAAAATAAACGAAATTACTATTAGATAGAACTGAATTGTGGACTTGCATGGGTATAAGTTTATTATTTTACGATGTCAATCAATTAAAAATGGAAACCGACTTGATTCTAAAACGATATATCTTATACCACCTCCAATGGAGGATCCTTAATTAGCAGAATTTTAATTAAAAATTCAATCAAAATATTGAAAAAAAAGAAAGAGAATAAGAAGGACTCTTAAATAATAGCATGAAGAGGGACTCTTAATTAAACCCTTCTAAGCAACATGTCTCTCCCATATTGGTTTATTTTCTTTTTAAAATTAAAATTTAATTACATAACAAAATAATCATTTCTTTTTATGTTTAAGAGACTCTTTAGAAGCACTTACCATTGGAGACGTTCTTACCACCTCGTTTGCTTGACCACATCTTGTGTTTGAGTTAGAGAGACTTGTGTGTGTTTGAGTTAGAGAGACTTGTGTGTTGTGTGTTGTGTTTGTGTGTCTCCATGAGGTTTATATAGAAGAAGAAAAACAACAAATTTTGAGAAATAGAGAAAGGGATCAAAACCAAAACGATAAGAATGAATTGGATTCGAAAGTAGCGGAGGGTTTGAAAGTAAAGAAGGAAACGTCAAGAATTTGGTTCTTTGTTGTAGTGGAGGATATGATTCCTTGTTGTAGCATAAGTTATCATTGGTAAATGAATGATCTTTAGAACACAAAAAGGAAACAAAAACAGAAGATCAAAGTTATTATAAGTAAATTCAAAGTTATTATAAGTGAATGATCTTTAGAGCACACATAGGAAACAAAGAGTCATTCTTTTAATTTCATTCACTCTACTTGCATGACATAGAAGCCTATGAATTTGAACCTAATCTATGTGATTAGAATCATCATGAAAAGGAAGGAAAAAAAAAAAACCCCAAATTGAACAAAAAATTAAAGCCTGGAGAAGTCAAAGAGGACAAAAAATTTCACCTTTTTTTGTTTGGGTTGGCAAATCGAGCACCGCCAAAAGTTAAAGCACAAAAGATGGATCGAAGATTGTGTATCCAGAGCTAAGAAAATATCAAGAACCAGACGAGGACGAGAGAAGAGAGGGTAAAAAAGAGAGCACAGAGAGCAGAAGGATTCGAAAATGTTAACTAAGATTAACTCAAAAGAACTGAAATACAAAAAGAAGAAAGTGATATATAACCAATCAATCATTAAGGTCTTTCTTGTAAAGACATAACTTTAGACAAGTAGTGTTTATTTTTCAAAGTCTGAGACGCAAAAATGCGATATACAAACGCAGGACAGTGGAGCAGTTTATTTTTTTTGGATAATTGAGGACCCAATTAGCAGATATCATGTTTTCTGTGACTCATGATGATATAAATTAAATCATAAAGCATTGAAAGAAAGATTCTATTCATCAATGAAATTACTTTCGAAACAAAAATGCATGATGGGATAAAATAGTTGAAAACAGAATAAATAACAACAACTTAGTTAAATACTTTCGAAACAAAAGCAACGTACGGTGTGGGATAAAATAGTTGAAAACAGAATAAATAACAAGTTAATTTTGATATGCTCATCTCTGTGAAATCAGTATCAGTATATCAGCTCTGCTCTTCTGCTTAGGGTGATTCCTCCACATGTTTCTTCTTCCTCCGCTTCTGAGTTCTGACCACTGGAAGTGGGCCATGAACATATGCCGAGAGTCTGACCTACATCTAATAGGCATCCTGGCCATAATGCCGAGCTTTCGGGATTATCTAATGCGAGCCTTTTAGGCTCTACTAATAAAACATTGTAACCTCTCCCATTCATACAGGAAAGAACAAAGGTGAGGTTGATGTCTCCTTCTCCTTCTCCTGGAAAGTCATTTGAGATGACAATCAGACTTGGTGGTGTAACATAGACGTTCAGAGGAGTATCCATTTCCCAAAATAACATGTCATGTATCATCCTATCAACCCTCTCAGTTTTATTCGCAGGAGCTGTATATCAAGAGAGAGAGAGTTAGATTATATATATAAATATATATGTATATTTTTTTTTTAGGAAGAGTGTTAAGAGAGCTTAGTGAAAAAGAATTCACCTTTGGGAACGATATTGATTCCGGCACTCTGATACTTATCCAGCAAGAAACCTGGGATCGGTTCCTGCTCAGTATAATAAGCCCATATTGACATCACACCATCATAACCTTTTTTCTCTAGAGCCAAGTCGATTCTCTGATAGATACTGTTAGGATCAAGATCACCAGGGAATGGGGAATCATTGACGTCCCAGAAGACGCCGATCCTAGGCCCTGAGACAGGTGGGATAGGATCTGCAAGAGAACGCATAAAACAATTACGAAATGAGAAAATAAACAATCGAATTATTAACCATTAATTTGACTATATATATGGCAGATCAATTAATTAGATATGCTAGTTAGGAAGAAATCTAAACAAGCAATTTTGAGATAGAAAGAGAAATCTTACAGAAGAGATCTTCTCGGATCATGGTTTTGACACTAGCAGAGTTAATGGTTTTGACGGGAGAGACATCAGGCTTTTTCACTTCCTTATGCTTCTCCATCTTCTTCTTCCACTTGTGATTACTTACAGGGTATCTGATTTGGCTCAAGGAAACTATTCCAGCTAATATCCATCTTGGCCATTCTTGTGTTTTGCGACTTTCTTGTGCGATATCCTTAGGCTGTACTAAGAAAGCACAGTAATCTCTCGCATGCATAGATCTGAGACAACGGTAGAAGGAAATGTGTCCTTGGGTGTTGATGTCATTTGAGATTACGATCACGTTTGGTGGGCTTGAAGACTCTGCTAGAGGAGAGTCCAGTTCCCATAAAGCAATGTCATTTACCATCCTAAGAAGTCTCGCAGTTTTATCCCGGGGGAACTGTACATCAAAAGGAGATAAAGATTACATACATATATAAGAAAAGAGTGTCTAACAAAAAGAGAGCTTAAGGAAAAAGGAATATACCTTGGGGACGAAATAGATTCTC